TTATATTATAAGGCTCCTCTAGGTTTTTATATTAATGCATACTAACATATTATGTTTGATATATCTTGTCCTTATTTTACTGTCTTTATTTTACTAGCATGTCCCAAGTGTGTATTCTAGATTTTTAAGTAAAGCTTGTTTAAGTTGCACAAAATAACTTTGCAAACATTAATTTGTTAAGTGATGGCCAAATTTCTTTTGAAATCAATTATTTGCTTTTCAAATGTTTTGACTTACATTAAGTCACCTGCTTAACTAACCATATCATATATATTAACACAATATTTCATCTTTTCACATTTGTACTCATTTGTTTTAACTAAACTATTATAGTGCCATTAATCAAGGAAGTTTCATTAAATCCATTGACCCCAACAATACAGCAATATAAGGGCTGTTAATACATAAATACTTTTCCTCATAATTGAATAAAATTAGAATTAAAGTCCTAAGCCAGTGGCTACATACCAACGATAAATTAAAATCAAATACGCAGTTTCTACAGAAGTGCTTTATATATTTGTCAAACGTCTAGTAAAATTAAAAGAAGCAAATAACTTGACAATGCTATCACTACATAAAGAAAAATGGGTTCAATGGGAGTGATGAACAAAGTCAGTTTTCTCCTGACATAATCAGAAATATTATTGAAACTCAGAGTTTTGTTGTCATACTGTTGCAGGCAGATAAGTTAGTTAGAAATATTATAGGCAGTCACACATTGCTAGATTCTCAAAGGGGCCAGTAGAGAAACCGAGGTACACTGCCACTGTGGGAGAGGCATCTCCCTGCTATGAGCCAGGCCTCAAGACAAAAGATCAAACAAATGCATCCATGTCATAATGACTGATACTCTAAATATGTCTCTGTCTCCCTTGAAAGCCAGGAGTCACCATCCCAACCCCCTAAGGAAAGAGTCACTGTTACCTAAGAATATCTGCTTCCACATTTGTCCTTAGTTTAGTTTTATCTCTACTATTAATCTTATTGGCTAACTAGTGTTCTATCCCAACTTAAACTCATCTGCCTTGTGAGTTCAGAGTTTTCCTCACCTTAAACCCATCTCACCCCTTGATATGAATTAGTGAAGCATATAGAATTCCAAATAGCCATAACCAAAATAAAACTACTTCTAGACATATACTAATCACCATCCCAAAAATCCAACATAAGAACAGAATATTAAAATATGTTAGAGAGAAAAGACAGATCACCTATAGAGGAAAACTTATCAGAATCACAGCAGATTCTCAACACAAACAATGAAGTGAAGAAGACCACGGAGCAAAATATTTCAGATCCTAAAGGAAAAAGACTTTCAAACTAGATGGATGCACCCTGCAAAACTGTCCTTCAAATGGATGGACAAACAACATTCCATGACAAAGAACATCTGAAGAACTTCATGATCACCAAACCAACCCTGAAAAGAATACTGAAAGACAATATAGATACACATAGGGAAAAAAAATCACTAAGCAAGGCAGACAATTAAACAGAATGTAGAGGTAAAGATGCAACAGCAGAAAAATAACATGTCAACAATCAACCAATATATAATACTTATAACCATTAATGTAAATGGTCTCAATTCACCAATTGAAATAAACAGACTTGCAGAATGGATCAAGATACAATATCCAACCATATGCAAAAGGAAAGTCATAGACTGAAATCCAAAAAGAAACTCATAGACTGAAAGGCAAAGGATGCAAAAAAATTCTTCATGCAACAGGACCACCCAAAAAAGCAGGGGTAGCTATTCTGTTTGCAGACAATGTGAATTTCAAATCAAGAATGATTCAAAGACATAAAGAAGGTCACTACATGCTGTTTAGGGAAAACTTCAAGAGGAAGAAATAACAATCTTAAATATATATGCACCAAATTCCAGAGCACCCAGCTATACAAAGCAAGTATTAAAAGAAATGAAAAATCAAGTAAGAAATAACACAACCATAACAGGAGAACTTCACACACCATTGACACCAAGAGACAGATCAACCAGACAGAAAATCAGCAAGAAATAACAGAAATGTGTTATACCTGTGAACAAATGGACTTGATAGACATATACAGAGTGTTCCATCCAACAATATCAGAATATACATTCTTCTCAGCAGTACATGGGACATTCTCTAAAATAGACCAGGTACTAGCCCACAGAACATATTTAAGTAAATCCAAAAGAGTTGAAATTATCTCATACATGTTATCATTCACAGCACCATAAAATAGAAATTAATGATGAAAGAAAGTGCAAAAACCTCCAACACATGGAAATTGAATAAAACACTCAAGCAATCAGTGGACCACAGACAAAATTAAAGAAGAAATTAAACAATACATGCAAGCAAATGAAAATACAGGCACAACTTACCAGATTCTGTGGGATGCAATGAAAGTGGACCTCAGAGGAAAATTTATTGCACTAAGATCCCTAATCAGGAAAACAGAACAAAAACAAATAAATAAACTGATACTACACCTCAAACATCTCAAAAAAGAAGAGCAAGTCAAGCCCAAAGCCAAAAGAAAGGAGGAAATTATAAAAACCAGAGGATAAATTAATGCAATAGAGACTAAGAAAACAATCAAAGAATCAGTGAATCAAAGAATTGTTTCTTTGAAAGATAAATAAAATTGATAAGACCCTAGCCAACCTTATTAAAAGGAAAGAAAATCTCAAATTCATGCAGTAAGTAATAAAAAAGTTGAAATCACTATACACTCTGGAAATACAGAACATCATTAACACCTATTTCAAAAAACCCTACTCTCATAGGTTTGATAACACAGAAGAAATGGAGAGATTCTTAGCAACATATGAATTATCCTAACTGGGACAAGAAGGTGTAAAACTGCTGGAAAACCCAATTTCTATTAATGAAATTGAAAAGGTAATTAAGTGGTTACCAACAAAGAACCCAGGCCTAGACGGGTTCACTGCAAAATTCTAAAAGAAGTACAAAGAAGATATAATACCGACACCCCTTAAACTTTTCAATGAAATTGAAAGGGAAGCTGATCCTGCCCATGGATCAATCCATGGGGTGTACCTGGAGGGGGAATGGGGATTAAATAAACACATGGGGGAGACAGAGAGAGAGACTGAGGCAAGTCGAGAGAATCCAATCAAGCCCCGTTTATTCCAGAAGTGATCACATCTTTTATAGGTCAAGGGCGGGCTGGTGGGACCATAAGAGGCTGCAGGGATGAATACAACAGGGTCATCATCACGTCCAGGTATGTGACGTAAGCAGGAGAGGATTATGGTTAATGTAGGCAGAAGCATTGTGTTCATAGGAGAGAGAGAGAGGCAGGGAGACAGCAATGGGGCTGTCGCATGGCTCCCTACATCTCTTCCCTTTCTATATTATTTAATCAGGAGTATGGTAGGCCCTGCCGGACAGCATCTGTCTTAAGTCAAGGACCTCATTACATGAACCCAACCAGGTCTTACCCGTCATGGGCTTGCAGGACAGCAGTTGGTCCTGTGCCTGTCTTAGGCGGCCAATGGAGTTAACATGCATGTCCTAGTTGCCCGTCTCTGACTGCCTGTCCATTGCCCCAGAGCGGTTAGGCCGCATTGTCATATGGGCCATTCATGGGAATTCCTTCCCGGGAGGTCTGTTGACCTGCCATCTCCAGCTGATGATAGTGTACCTGAATGGGCTTTGCCATAAACGCATCTATCCAGTTATTAATGAGCGTCATAATCCTCTGAAAAATCCCCTACAGAAAGCAGAAGCAATAGGGCAGCTAGGAGACCCAAAAGGCGCTAGGTAAGGGAAAAGACCCCCACACACACACATTGAGGAAAAGGGGTTGGCAGCCATTTGTTGTTGTTCCTGTTGAAGTCATTCTTCTATTTCTTAGAGCTTGCCTCGCATAACACCGGACACAGTCTATTTGGCTGGTTTATGTTGCTCCAGACTGAGAAGAGCCTCCTCCACAGTCACAGGGGGTTGTATGCATGGCTGTCAGCAGTTGTAGTCTGTTTGGCAGGGGTCTAAATCCACCATGGGTGTGGTACGGCTCAAGGAGAAGGCTGAGTAGGCAGCAAAGGGCTCCGAGGAGTTGTGTCACCTGTAAGAGAACACAGGGGGTTGTGCCTCAGGAAATGACATTTTTCCTGGGCGCCGCATGGGGTCTTTGAAGAACTGTTTTTTTGTTTATTTATTTATTTATTTATTTATTTATTTATTTATTTATTTTTTATTTTACAAGGTGCTCAGGTAGCCATCTAGCCTCTCTGTCTTGTTGAGAGTAAACACAAACTGAACCACATCCCCATATGAGAACGGGTCAGGGCCAAGCCATGAATTAGTCAGGGGGTCTCTCCATAGTACAGAAGCAAATTGCTTTTTTGTTTCAGAATGCCAAAAACACATGGCTGCTGACTGTCCAGAAACATCCACATTTAAAAATTAAGGATAAATAAGGCATGAGATAGAATATTTTTAGGTGTCTGCCTTGTGAAGTACCATTCCCCCTTTTTTATTTTATCAAAAGTGAGTTTTAGGGAGAGATGTTCCCTTTTAACTATGCCTTGACTTTGAGGGTTATAAGGTATGCCTTTTATATGATCAATATTAAGATGTTGACAGAAACTAGCAAAGGCAGAACTAGCATAGCCTGGTAAGAGGTATATAAAGAAACCACTAAAGATATTTATAGTTCCATGAACATATTTAAGATTGCCAAACTCAGGAATGTGGGTGACATCCATTTGCCATAATGCACTGGGGATAAATCCTCTAGGATTAACCCCAAAGTGTGGAATTGGGAGGTGCATGACACAAGAAAGGCATTTTTTTATTATCTGTCTGGCTTGTTTTCTAATGATCTTAATATAGAATTACAGAAAAATAAATGGTAAGAAATCAACAGATAATAAGTTACACATTGTCATCCTAGAAATAGCTGTGCAGGCTACAAAACCAAAGTATGTAAAGTGACATTCAAACAGTGACACTGCCAACAGCTCCGCCCAATGATCCAACAAAAACCCAATAACATGTTTATTAGTCCCACACACTTGCCTTCCATCTCCAAGAGGGCAAGATCAAACATATCAAAACAGAACAAAACCATTTTAACAAAAAGATTTAAAGAAATACAGATTTCAAAGCAAGTCCACTGGAGATCTTCATTGTTCATCTAATTGTCTCTACTTTCCTCCAAATAGTTGTGCCCATCTTTACGCACATTAAATACACACTGCATATTATAGAAGTAATCAAATATTACAGGATGATGAAGGCTCCTCAGGTTTTCAAGATCTGAGATTGGGGAAGACAACAATAACTACCATAGTGTCTCTCATTCTCCTTTCAGCGCTGTCCCCATCCTTACATATGCTGAAATTAAACTTAAGAGACTAGACCAATATCACTCCAATCAGTTAAATGGGTCAAAGTAATTGACATTGGAATCTCTATCTCTGGAGTCTTTTTGTAAAATGACCAGTCTCTCTACAGGTAAAACAGATTTGTTTATGCTTTTGAGATAAGAACTGTCTAACTGTAAACCCTTGCAAGCCAGCAGCCATAGCAAGGCCTTGATGACAAGCAGTTTCAATGTCAATGGTACCAGGGATTGAACTCACAGCCTTTTGTCGGGCAGGCAACTGTGCCACTGAGTTAAATCTCCAGCCCTGGAGACTGAACTCACAACTGTGCTTTGCTTAGTCACTGAGCTAAATCTCTAGCCCCTGCTTAATGTTCCTGAGGAACTCATATTGCCCTTAAATTGCTTTTGGCCTCTCTGTTGGCATAGGCATCCTCCACTATTAACATATTAAGGTCCCACCCATTGCCAGCTTGTGTATTGTGCCTGGTGATCTCTTTGCAATTTTTTGTATATTCTGATTTTTACAAAAGATTATCCCCACCCGATAAAGTCACTCGGGCCAATCTTTGTCAATCTGTAGGTGTGAGCCAATGAATTTAAAACAGCAAGAATGAAAGCAGCTGTAGGGCTATATTGGGCGACTGCTGTTTTAAAGCTGCCACTGTGAATGGCGTATGAGTCCTAATGACTTGTGGAGCTAGCGGTGTGGCGCCTGCACCATCTTGCAGCTGTGCAGCGCCATCTTGGGGAGGTACATTTTTTTCTGTCACTGGAAACGCAATATTGGGGAGGGACCCATGCTGATGTGGCGGAAGTGAGGCAAGTGCCATTTTAAGAGCGCAACAAGGCCTGCTGGAGGCAGGCACCATCTTAGGAGCACTATAAGGCTGTGTAGCTCAGAGGGCCTTGTGCGACCGTCTCCTCAATCTGAGGATCTGCATGCCTCTGGGCAAGCAGCTGAGAGATTAAATTCCAGTATGCAAAGGTGGTCACCAGAACCTTTTCCAGACTGAAAACCCTGTAATAATCTTTTAAAGCATCCCTTACTCTTTTCCACCTCTTGGTATCTATAGAACCCTCTAGGGGGAATCAAGGGCAAACCTTATGAATAAATTGAAAATACTGCAATAATTCTTTTGTTCTAACCCTTACCCCTCCTGTCTTTAATGCCTTTATAAGGCCTCCCACGAACAATTTGTGTTCACTCAATGCTTGACCCATGTCCAGGAAAGGGAATGGGGTCTCAGTTAACTAACCGTGACTCGGGTGTCACGTCAGGTGTGCATTTGCTTTTGGCCTTAGTCCTTGATTTAGTTTGTTTTTACTTCTCGCCGCAGTCTTTGGTTCAATTTGCTTTCACTTTCAGCTGGCTTTCTCCAATGGCTCCCTCGTTGACTCCTTCATGCCAGGAGCCCCCACGCTGGGCGCCACTTGATCCACCCTGCGGATCAATCCATGGGGTGTACCTGGAGAGGGAACGGGGATTAAATAAACACATGGGGGAGACAGAGAGAGACTGAGGCAAGTTGAGAGAATCTGATCAAGCCCTGTTTATTCCAGAAGTGATCACATCTTTTATAGGCCAAGGGCGGGCTGGTGGGACAGGAAGAGGCTACGGGGATGAATACAACAGGGTCATCGTCACATCCGGGTATGTGATGTAAGCAGGAGAGGATTATGGTTAATTTAGGCAGATGCATTGTGTCCATAGGAGAGAGAGAGGCAGGGAGGCAGCAATGGGGCTGTCACGTGGCTCCCTACAGGAAGCAATCCTTCCTAAGTCATTCCTAGAAGCAAATATTACTCTAGTACCAAAATCCAAGAAAGATGCAAATAAAAAAGAGAACTACAGGCCAGTCTCCCTAATGAACATAGATGCAAAACTTCTCAATAAAATATTGGCAAACAGGATGCAGGAAATTATCAAGACGATTATACACCACGACCAAATGGGACTCATCCCAGGCATGCAGGAATGGACCAACATACATAAATCAATAAATATAATCCACCATCTCAATATAGCCAAAAACAAGCATCACATGATCATTTGAATAGATGCATAAAAAGCTTTTGATAAGGTCCAATGCTCATTCATGATAAGAACCTTACAGAAAATTGGAATAGATACTCTTTACCTCAATATGATAAAGGCCATTTACAACAAACCAACAGCCAGCATCATATTATATGGCCAAAAACTGAAGGTATTTACCTTAAAATTAGGTACAAGACAAGGATGTCCCTTATCACTGCTCCTATTCAACATAGTACTTGAAATACTAGCTAGAGCAATTAGACAAGAGAGAGAAATAAAAGAAGATACAAAAAGAGAAAGTTAAATTATCATTATTTGCAGACAACATGATACTCTACATAGAAGACTCCAAAACTCATTTGCAAGACTCTAAGGTTTAATAAATAAATTCAGCAATGTAGCTGGATACAAAGTCAATACTCCAAAATCAATAGCATTACTATACACTAACAAAAAAATCACTGAGAGAGAAATAAGAGAAGCCACACCCTTCTTACTAGCATCCAAAAAAATGAAATACTTAGGAATTAATCTCACAATAGAAATAAAAGATGTATACAGGGAAATTTATAATACCCTGAAAAAGAAATTGAAGAGGATCTCAGAAAATGCAAAGACATCCCTTGTTCATGTATAGGAAGAAAAAATATTGTGAAAATGTCCATTCTCCCAAAACTGTTATACAGATTCAATACAATCCCAATGAAAATTCCATTGACATATCACATAGATCTAGAGAAATCATTCCTAAAATTTGTCTGAAATCAGAAGAGATCTAAAATAGCAAAGGCAGTTCTAAGCATCAAAGGCAAAGCAGGAGGTATCACAATCCCTGACTTGAAATTACACTAGAAAGATACTTTAATAAAATCAACTTGGTAGTGGAATAAAAACAGATCTGAAGATCAATGGAATAGACTAGAAGATACAATCACAACAACAAACACACTACCATCTTATCTTTGATAAGGTGTCCGAATATGTTCACTGGAAGAATGACAGTCTCTTTAATAAATGGTGTTGGAAAAACTAGCTCCCCATATGCTGAAAACTAAAACTAGACCCATGCCTATCAACATGTACTAAACTAAAATCTAAATGTATCAAAGATCTGAATATTAATAGAAACACTAAATCTGTTGAAAGACAAATTAGTTAAAAATCTTGAAGATATTGGGGTTGGTAGAGGGTTCATGAACATGAATCAAACTGCATGGGAAATACTTCCCAAAATCAATAGCTGGGATCACGTCTTATTTAAAAGTTTCAGCATGTCAAATGTAATCTCCAGCATAGTGAAAGGAAAACCTACAAACTGGGTAAAGATCATAGTGAACTATCCCTCAAATTAAGTACTACTGACTAAAACATATAAATAAGTTTTAAAAAATCAGACCCCCCAAATTCAAAGGCCCAATCCAAAAATGGGCATCTGAGATAAATGTAGAGTTTACACAGTTCTCGGACGAATAAATACAAATGGCAAGTAAATACATGAAACAATGTTCATCATCATGTGTCATTAGAGAAATGCAAATTAAAACCACATTGGGATTCTATCTCACTCCAGAAAGAATGGCCAGGATCAAGAAAACTACCAACAACAAATGGTGGAGAGGCTGTGGAGAAAAAAGGAACTCTCCTTCAATGTTGGGAGTGTTGACTGGTGCAACCACTGAGGAGGTCAGTCTGGAGATTACCCAAAATTTGGGATTGCAAGTCCCATTTGACCCAGCTATTCCACTTCAGGCATATTCCCAGAAGAACTAAAAACATCATACCACAGTGATATTATGTGCACCCACGTTAATAGCAGCACAATTTGAAATAGCCAGATCTTGGAAACAACCTAAGTTCCCATCAAATGATGCATGGATAAAAAAATATGTTGTTTTTATACAACGGAGTACTAGTCAGTTATAAAGAATGATCACACTGAGATATTTATAAATAAATAGATGCAACTTGAGACCATACTCATAAGCACAATAAATCAAACTCACATGTATTAATACCATTTAGTCTCCTTAGTGTAAGAAATGGTAAGAGTACATAAGATTTTATGGCAATCATGATTCCCCATTACATTGCTTTGAAGGCTTATAATGTTTTCATTCATTAGTTGGAATAGCTTTATTCTGTTTGGTTTGATTTTATTACATTTGATGGTATGAACAGCTATTTTGAAGAAAACAAGACATTATGACAGCCATTGCCGATTTAATATCATCTTGCTTTCAAGTCCTACCATGCATTTTTCTTCTGTTTCCATTGGTTCTATCATGTTGTATCTTATTGGATTTTAATATGTGAGATAGTATAAACAAAATGTTTATGAGCAATAAAGATATAATATAGTAGAGATAATATAGTAGCCATTGTTAATTTTTGTTTTTTTGGTTCTGAACACCCTGTAATGCTTTCATTCTCTTGAGTGATTTTATACTATTTTGTTATGTTTGATACTATTACATGTGAAGGTATGATCAACTATTTCAAAGAAAGAGATATTATGGTAGCTACTGTTAATATCCGGTTGTCTTGTGGTGAGGTACTGTGTAGCTTACATTGTTCAGTTCCAATCAGCTTTGTTCTGTCCTCTTTTGTCTTAATCTCTATAAAATAAAAAAAGAGAAGGTAGTCATAAAAAATAATATACTGGATTAATTTAAACAATTGTTGAACATGAAAGATGCTAAAAGAAACTCAAATCATCCAGAAAATGGAATTATATTATTAGTATTATTATTATTGTTTGCTATTATTTAAATTTCTTCTATAGCTTGAGTTTTTGTTTAAGGTATGTTCTGAAAGCTTCAAAACATATTGCTAACAGTATAGGAATCATATATTGCCGAATTCTCAGTTGACTTTAAAGAAATAATGACTACTGATTGCAAACACTAAACTTACTTTCTATAATGGAAAATTATATTTTGTAAAATAAATGAAGAACATTTTTTGTCTACTCATATTCTGACATATTAATAAAATAATGCCATAACCAGAAGTCCACCCACCAGTTAGCAAGACAATATATATCTTGACAAAGTAATACAACTTCATATACTTTTCTAAATTTCTAGATACCAGTAATTGTAAAATGAATTAATTTTTTGTATTCGTTAAATAAATTAACTGAGAACGATCACTTAAATAGTTATATTTAAGTTCTTAAAGGTACAGTTTGCATTACATTGCACTGTCCAAATTTTGTCTTTATTGTATTTCTTTTTGTATTGTATCAAAACCTCTTCTCTGCTCTCAACCAAAAATGAAATTGGACTCAAATGGCTATATTTTCTGAAGTGCCTTCTTTAATTTTCTATACTTCATTTATAAAATTAAGGGTTAATTTTGAAGAATAATATTTATGTGGACTTCTTCAGCTTTAAAATGTATTTGAAATAAGGAACTATGAAATAGCTATATACGAACCTTACGTACTGTGTGAATTCTTTCATGTTTAAAGTATGTTCTCTTTACTCAGAACAGAATGTCAAGATATGCAATAGTTTATGAGTTGTGAAATAGTTGAAATATTATCTAATTTTAATTTTAATTGTAAATCAATATGTATTTATGTGAAGTGTACATATATGTATACATATTTATAAAATATATAGAGGTTTTTTATGATGCATTTTAATGAAAGCAAACTTTCACTCTGAATGCTCTCTTAGAAGCAAACACTTGTCAAAAAATTTGTTCATACTAGTTTAATAAAGAAAATACGTTTTCAAAGATCTTTCATGAGTGACATACTTTCCTAAGAGTCTTTGTATCTTACATTAAACATTCTATCATCTTTATTAAACTGATCTTCCCTTACATACAAATAGGGAATAATTTCTCTGCAAATAATAAGACCCAGTAGTTTATCTATGCTTTCTTCAGAGTACATGAACATTAATATAGTTTTAATATATACAAAAGTTCTAGAGATGTGAGATGCCCACGACAACACAGAAGCAGCATCAAAGCAGAACCACGCTGGATGGATAATAACTGTAGATCTATCTTGCTTGCCAGGAGCTTCAAAATCCAATTTAAGATAGAAATGCAATAAGAGTTCCAGCCAGACATGCTTCCTTCTTCCTTTTCTTTGTTCATGAGATTTCGCTTTCCATATTTTGTTATATTTTTCAGTCTCTCTGTTTTAATATTTTTTATAGTACAACATGTCTCAAATATAAAACTGTTAAAATATAAACTTTTCAATAACTTTTTGGTAGGTTTTTTAAAGAATATTATTTTATTTCCCAACAAAAAAATCTTCAGTTTCCTTTACTAAATTATGTGCAGGCAGGATTTTGATCAGCTTAACTCTTTGCCTTGAATCAGAGAGCAATATCAATGCTTGTGCATAACCTAAGAGAACAACCAAACCATTAGTATTCCAAATGATCAGTGATAAAATTAACCTATACCACAATACAGGTAGAAATATGTAGCATCGCCCCTGCCATTGCAACAAAAAAGGAGCTTGAATGGTTTCAAATATACGTGTATTTTTCAAATGCATGTCTTCACAGAGCTGCCTTCACAGAGCAAGTAATGAGGCTGAAATCTAAGATAAGATAATGCGTTTAGGGAGAAAGGAATCATGAAGATACCAACAGATTCTGGAAGAATAACCTTGGCTATAATACCCGATCAGCTAGTGAAAATTTAGTGTACCCTGGAGAATTCTGTACCATCTTACAGATTATTTCTCCAGAGAGCTGGCCAATGGAAGGAGTAAGACAGTGCCTGAGTAACTCTGCAGGTGTTGTCTCCACATAGAGACATTTGTTTCTTCAGATATTCATGCCAAAGCTACCCTATCAAGAACTAGAGAAATAAGGCCAGTGTTGGGGAACAGTCTCCAGATTCATTCCCTTGGCCATGTGGAGACTTACGCCCCCAGTCAATAGGAACTCTGTTCCAGGCAGCATCACCAGTGGCTGATTGCAACGGTCTTCAGCCACAAATCTAGTTGAGGAGCAGACAACCTACGGCAGATAGGCTGGGATTTTTCTCTTTGCTACCCAGTTACTCATGGGCTGTAGACTCAGTGGAACTCAGCATTGAGGTAGCGGGGAAATTGGGACTGCTCAACCAGTATTCCTCTCTTATGACATTTATTTATCTGATGTCACCCTAGAACCTCAAGGGTAGGTGTGAGGTCTTCCTGGAGGTGATTAGCCTGTGGGAACTTACAGCTGACTTGCTGTTTTGCGGGGTGGAAGGGTTTGATCCAACACAGTTGCACACTGGGGACATGACTTAGGAGAAATGTTCTGTTTTCCTGCCTCTGCGCTTCTTGCTTCCTTGTCACCATTCCATGAGCAGCTCCCTTCTGCTATTCTCCTGTGCAGCGCCAGCCTTCGGGCCAGGTGACTGTGACTGAAACTTGAGTCAAAATGGATCTCCCCTTACACTGTGTCAGTTATAGTGTCTAAGCAATGGGAATATAGCAAGACATTCCTCAACTCCAGAGAGTAAAAGATGGTGTGTTTATGTGGGGGTCGGAAAGGTAGGTAAGTACCAAGTCACTGCTGGCCTATCCAGCACTGGAAAGAGTTAGAATCCTCTAGTTTTTAAGTAAACTCCAGGAACTGTGGATAGCTGTTTGGGTCTAACCTAGCCCCAAGTGGAGGACTTAAACGTGGTTTGCAGCACTACACCAGTCATTATGAATAGCATACTAACCACAAATATGTAATAAACCTAGGTTTGAGGCAAACTTTTGTGCTGAATGAAGTAACAACAGTGATCACAGATTCAAAGAAAGTAGACAAATCATCTGAAAGTAATGGATGGACAGATACAAATAAGGGCAGATTACCAAGACTGGATACTACACTTCTTCACTATGTAGGCAGCGTCACAGGCAAATAAATATTCAGAATTGTCAGTGAACAATGATCCTAAAATAAAAGTCAAAATAACATGCTAAAAACAGATCAGAGGGTGAATAATATAGGGAAAATCTCTGATGGAGAATTCAAAAATGTATTATAAGAAAATTTAAGTTTCCACAAAATGCAAGAACGGCTTTGGAAGATGAAATATTTAGGTTGCATGAATCAGGAAATATTTAGAATGTGAGAGTGATATAAAGTTCATTCAAAGTAGTGATAACAGATAATATCCCAAAATTATAGATGGTTACAAATATTCACTTACAGGAGGTTCAAAGGTCAGCAGTCAAATTGTACCCAATCTGTAATCTCCGAGACATCTTACAATCGACTTGTCAGACATTAAAAGTGAAGAGTGCATTCTCAAAACAATAAAAGAAAGAAAGAACCAAGACTAAGAATATTCTAGGGGGCTGGGGATTTAGCTCAGCAGCATAAGCACCTGCCTTACAAGCAGGCAGTCATGAGTTCGATCCCCGGTACCGAATAAAAAAAGGAAAAAGACAAAAAAAAAGAGAGAATATTCTAATTCATATAACAGCAAATTTCTCCAGAGAAATCATACAGATCACAAAGAATTCATGATGATATATTTAGTATTGAAGAAAGCAACTAATTAAATAAACAAATATGCAAAACTTACCAGCTGAGAATTCTGCACCCAATGAAACAAAACTTGAGATATGAAGGGAATATTTAGCTGTTCAGAAAAAAACATAAGTTGAGAGAATTTATCACCACCAGACCTGCTCTTCAAAAATGCTAAAGAAAATTCATAAAAATTCAAAAATGCTAAATAAAATTCATAAAGAAAATTCATGAAAACGAAAGGAAACGCTAATGCCTAAGAAGGAAATTTTGAAAAGTATAAAATTCACTGGTAAGGCAAAGCATATTAACAGATGCAGAATGTTTTATCATTGTAAATATGCTTCATAAATTACTTTTATCAGTAAAATGAAGAACTAAACCACTTTAAACTATAATACTGACAACATATTATGAAAGGCATAATGAAAAGACACAGAAAATCTATTATTTAAAAATATGTGTAGTTACAGAGGGTTGATTACTTTTTATTAATAGTATATTTTTTACTGTTTCTTTTTGGTTCCTTTTCCTACCTTTATGATTAATATTTAGATGCTTCCATTTTAAAATAGTTCATTATAATTAAAAGATATTTTTTCTGTAACCTTATGATAACCAAAAGGAAAACTGTATAACATGTAAATCAAAAAGAATATGTAAAAAATCAAAACACACTAGAAAGAGTAAAAAACCAGAGGGGAGTAAATAAAAGGGAAAAGAAAGGACCTCAAAAACACAGGACAATATGTAACAAAACAGCTGTCATAATGAACTTACGTTTATCACTAATTTTCTTAAATGTGAATTCATTGATCTTCTAATTTTAACATATTAAACAATAGAGTGGATTTAAAGAAAAACCAAAATTCAGGTGTATGCTGATTACATGGAGCTAATTATAATTCTAAACACAGAGGGAAAGTTCAGACAAAGCAGGAGTAGCCACACTGATGTCAGACTAGACTAAAGGAGAAGCAGGCAGAAGAGACAATGAAGGTCAACTATAACCATACAGGGGTCAACTCAAGATGAAGAAGCATGATTCTAAACAAACTTGCATCAAAAAAACAGTCAAACACATGGAGCAAACTTCAGTAGATCTAATAGGAGAGATAGCTCCCAATATATTAATGGAAAGTAAATTTCACAGAAAGTCATAATAGAAACATTAAATTTAAATGCCTCTATTTGACAAAATGATCATAAAGGTAACTATACAACATTCTGTAGAGCAACTACAGAATATGTATTTATTTCTACCACATATAGAAAATTCTCAGGTGGATCATATGATAGAGTGTACAACAGGAGTCCACATCTACAAAAAGTGAAATTACAGAAATACAAATGTGAAAATACTAGCTAACAAAAAAAAATAAAATAAACAACTTTGAAATCTGCACAGGTTCCTAAAACTTGAGCAGCTTACTTCTGGACAAAAAGAAGAATGAATCTAGTAAAAAAAAATCAGGAAAAAAATGTATAGGCTGTTTGAAGCAAATGAAAATAAAAATAGCATACTGAAACCTAGTAATGTGTAGTAACAATAAAAGATAAGCTTATGTTAAGAAATTCCTGTATGCAAAAAGCATATATAAAAAAATCTATCAGTGTACCTCAAGATACTAGAGAAACAAAGACACACCAAATTCAAAACTAGTAAGAGGAAATAAAAAATATCCCAATAGACATAAATGAAATATAGACTAAAAAACTACAAAAGATAGGAGAAAAGTATAAGTTAACTGAATCATAGGCTAAGGAATTGAGAAAGACAACTCCAATAAAACCAAAGAATAAAAAGGAGAAATTACAACTAACACCACAAATACAAAGGATCATAGAGATTATCACGAACTGTACACCTGAGAATTTGATAATGTAGATGAAAACACAAATTCCTGGATTAACAAACCTTATCAGATTTGAATCATCAATGAACATAAAACTGAGGCATATTGGCAGTGAATATTGAGGTCAACAATGAAAACTCTATATTGTAAAGGACTAGATAGCTTTAGCACTAGATTGGATAAAATATGCAAGGAAGAACTGCCAGTATTGCTTAAATTATGTTAGAAATTTAAAATCTGCATTTTCTTCCATATTCATACAAAAACGATATCCAAATCAAAAATGTATCACTACAAGAAAAAAGTCTACAGACCAACATGCTTAATTAACAAATATGCAAAAATTTCATTACTAGCAAATTGAACAAAACAGCAATTCAGAAAGATTATTTAACATGATCAAATGGAATCACTCCATGGCTGTAAAAATGTTTCATGATAATGAGGATGAGCCAGGTACAAAATATGTAAGATGTCCTTCAAGAGCATGCCTCAAATGATTTTGTTCACCAACTAGGGCTCTCTGCCTAAAGTTTCTCTGACCTTGCACTATTGCCAACAGCAAAAAGACCAATGCTTCAATGCACACAGATTTGGGAGACATTCAACATCCAAAGAATAACCTGCTAAAGAATACTTACTTTGGAAAGAAAATTGGAGTAATTTGTGTTGGATAAACTAGATATTTGCAAGTAGAAGAATGAAATTCCTATATCTGACTTTATAGAAAATTTTTAAACATCAGCTTAAGAGCCAGTATTATGAAACTATTAGAAGAAAAGAAGATAAACTACTCAGGATATTAAAATGTGTAAGGATTTGACCGCCAAAGTCATAAAAAAGGCAATAATAGATAAATGGTGTTATACCAAAACTAAAATACTCAGTAAAAAAAATGCTCAGTAAAAAAAAAAAAGTGATTAACAGAGTAAAGGAATAACCAATGTAATTGAAAATATGTTATTTTAACACAACATGTAGCAAAGGATAAACATCCAAAATATACAATATGATGAACTGAAATAACTTGATATTAAGGGATGCAATTACTCAGTAAAAGTAGATTTAAAGCTAGAGATACATTTCTCAAAAGAAAGCATGCATATGACTAATAGGTATTTAAAATGTTCAATATCCCTAGTCATTTAGGAAATGCAAAAGATACCATACTAAGATATCATGCTGATCCAATAAAAATGAATAATACCACAAAGACTAAAATAAAAAGTGCTGTTGAGGATGTGAACAAAGGAGTAGTCTTGGACACTATGTGGAAAAATAAAATATTAAAACCATTATATAAAACAACAAGAATTCTCTTTCAAAGTTAAAAAAACAAAATAAATGTGACCAGTTATCCCATTATTGAATACATATATAAAATCAGTACTGTCAGTATATTGAATAAACCTTTATACTTTCATAATTATAGCAGGATATTAAGTTCCTCCATTACAATCGTGTTAGTACTTACTTGATTTTGCATGTTTATTAGCATTTGCTTTATTTGGTTGGGTTCACCAGTATTTGCTGCATATTTATGATTATTACCCCTTATTCTGATAGTTTTCTCTTAACAAGTATATAGTACCCTTCTTTGTCTTTTTTGATCAGTCCTGGTTTGAAGTTCATATTACCTGTAAGTAGGATAGTTACCTTTGCATTTTTTTCCTGTGTTCCTGTGGCATGAAGTATTATATTGGCATAGTTTGACTTTCTATCTATGAATTCCTTTTGGGTTAAATATATTTCTTGTATGCAGCTTAATTTTCAGTCTTGCTTCTTAATCCATGCTGCCAGTTAGTTTCTTTTGATTAGCGAATTAAGTCCATTTTCATTGATGGTTATAGTTGATAAATATTGACTTATACTTCTTATACTATTTTCCTATTGTTTTCACCTGTTTTTTTTCTCCTTTGTTCAATTGCTTGTTCTGCCTGGTGCTTTCTATCTATTGGTGTTGTTGATATTGTGGTCTTCCTTATTTACTTACAAAATATCCTCCAGAGCATTTTGGAGAGCTTTTTTAATGGTCATGAATTTCTTCTGTTGTTTTTGTCATGGAGACATTATTTCTCCACTGATTTTGAAATAGAGTTTTGTGGATTCTATCAGTTGAGGTTGGCTGCTGTTTTCTTCATTCCTTGAAATGCCTCAATCCAACCAACAAAATTCGCCAAAAGACTTTGAGTTTAGTCAGCAGCATCAGTTGCTTCGCTGGCTGCAATATTATGACTCAAAAAAATATCATTCAAGTATACCAAACACAAGCAACCTGAGAGAGAATTTATAAAAAGAACATCTTTCACAATAGCATCATTAAAAAGAAACATTTAGGAATCTGTCCAACAAATGAAGTAAAAGATGTATACACTGATAAGTAAAGTACTCTAAAAAGAGGGATCAAAAAAGACATTAGAAACTGGAAAGATATTCCTTGTTGTTGGGTAGGAAGTACAACCATATAGAAAATGGCCATACTCAAAAAATTCTTAAAACTGTGTTGTACAATCTGACAAGCAACTTCACAAAACTAGAGAAAACTTTCCTAAAATTCATTTGGAACCAGGAGAGACCTACAATAGCAAAAGAAATCCTAGGCTATAAAGCCAAGGTAAGAGGCATCACAATCCTTGACTAGAAATTATACTACAGATCTGCTGTAACAAAAAAACATCATAGTGCTGGCCAAAACAAACAAACAAACAAACAAAAACCACAACCAAGCCTGATATTAGCGGAAATTAGTAGATGCAGAAACAATGCCAGGCACACTCACTCCTCTTATCTTTGGCAAAGGCCCAGACACATTCACTGCAAGGAAGATAGCCTAATTAATAAGTGGTGCTGCTCACTTCCTACATGTCAAAGACTAAAACTAGACCCAGGAGTCACACCATGTATTAAACCAACATTGATATGGATCAAATATCTAAAAGGTAAAGAGTACTATTAAACCTGCTATAAGAGAAAATAGGTAAAATTCTTAAACTCATAGATACAAGCAAAGATTTCATGAACAAAATTCCAATTGCATGTGAAATACTAGGAAGACAGAACAACTGTGATCTTATTTTATTAAAAAGTTTTTATACCGCAAAAAAATTACAAACAGAGAAAAAACAACCCATAGAGTGGGAAAGAATTTAGTCACTTGTTACACAGGTGTGAGGAAAAGGAAACTCTTCTCCACTGTTGGAGATTCTTCAAAAAACTAGGGCTAGAAGTTCCATTTGACCTAGCTACTCCCCTTCAT